GATAAGTAAAGAAATTAAAGTAAAATATAAAGTAAATGCCTTTGCTCCCCTCCCTTCTAAATTTTTTGCTAAACAAATAAAAAATGTTTCATCCCTCACCTTCTCTCCTCTTCCCTCAAATCAAATATATCGTAAGAGAGTCTACTTTTCTTTTCACTATCATACTATATTTTGATTTCGATTCATCACATTTTCTTCAACTTTTTTTTTTTTTTGTTGGGAATACAAGTAATTAAAGCTTAACAAAAATGCTAAGGACAACTAAGCAACAGGCTAAACTTTGAGGGGAAAATGTAGGGTGGGGGATCTGCTAAACTAGCCAGAGAGCCAATTAGACCTTTTTTTTTTTTTTTAAAAAAAAAAAAAGAAAAACAAATATACACTAGTAGAGTGATCCCCTCCACTAGGGGTGTTCATAACTTCATATCCGATCCAATCCGATTGATTCGACTTAAACTGATTCAATCCAATCAAAAACTGATCCAAACCGATATAAAATTGGGTTGGTTTCAATTTTAAAATTTTAAAACCAATATAATTGGTTTGGTTTGTGGTTTCACCTTCAAATCACCCGAATTGTCCGATTACAAAATAAAATCCGATTATAAGATAACTTAATTAAATAATATAATATATTTTTTGTAGTATTTTAAAATTTCTTTTTTTTTTTATTTTACAAGATAATAATTCCATTAACTTGATTAAAAAATAAAAATAGAACGTCTCCGTATTCCTTAAGTTATTTTTCCATTTTAATCATGCACTCTAACCCTAATTCTAAATTTTTAATTCACTTGCAACTCTATCCCCTCAGAACTGGTTTATGCCTTTACTCTTAGAACCCTAAATTTTTAATTTATTCTTAAAAGAAGCTTATGATTCTCCTAACTAAATTTTAAATAAATATCATTCTAAAAGTCTTAAAACTATATAATAAAATTAATCTTGAGATTCTACTATTTTTGGATATTTAGTTTAGAAGTTTTAAATTTTGAATATGAATGCTTTTAATCAATTTTAGTGATATTCATGTTAAATTTTATTCACTTTTAACATGATTTAAAAGATGATATTAAATTATTAATGCATTAAGAAAAAAACTAATTTTAATTTTTAAGAATTATTTACGCTATGCTAAAAATTTGAAATCATCTTTTATTGTTCTTGGTGCCTTAATTGATGTAACCAAAAAGAATTTTCAGATATTTTTAATTTTTACAAATGTAAAAGAGTATAAGAACTCGTTTATAATTTATATTTTTATTATGTTTTTACTAATTTGCATGCTAATGTGTTTTATGGTTATATTTTTTATTCGATATTAAAATATTTTTATATTATCTTATATATTTAATAATATTAAAAACCAATCAATTCAACTAAATCACACCGATCCGATTTAAGTTAGATTGGTTTGATTATCATATAATAATGGATTTAATTAATTTAAAAATTTTATTAACTAATTAAATTAAATTATTTTAAAAAATATTAAAATTCAAACCAAACCACACCGCGAATACCCCTACCCTCTACCATAAAAAATTGACAATTATTGCCATCTTTGTAGGGAATTTTTATTTTTTTTTATCAACCAAAACAGAAAAAAAGTCCATCTTTGTAGTTGTGTTCATGAACGACAATACGTGAGCTAGGCAAATAATAAATAATAAGCTTAATTTGCAACACAACGCTTATATATATATATATGGAAAGTGACGAGCATATTATGAGTTTTTTAAAATGGTAATGGAGTTTATACAATTATATTTTTAAATTTATTTTTTTATATAATTATAAATTTAAAAATAATAATTTTTTAATAAATATATTAAATCAATACGTGAGCTAGGCAAATAATAAATAATAAGCTTAATTTGCAACACA